GTAATTTTTGTGAAGGTGAGAAGGCAATGCAATTCTACTTGATGCAGCTTGAAGCCTTGAAAGGCAGTTCCAACAATCAGAAAACCACACACAGACAAATAAACATATACACACACATATATATCTTGGCGATTCTAAAGATTGACCGGGAGTGGCAGAAAAAATTTCGGGGCATGCACTGGCAATGTAAGAATTTCCTTCCTGGTCACTGGAACTGTTGATAGAGGCAGGCAAGGTGAAGCAGTATGTTCGATTTGCTTTGCTTTTAGAAGGTATAAGTGTTTTTTATTAGGGCAATCTGGTCTACCCAAATATGGGACAGAGCATACTACTTCCCAGGGGTGAAATCTACTTACCTTCCCTACCGGTTCGGAAGTGCACACGCCCTGCGCTTCACATGTAATTTTTGACCCTCTGCGCATGCGCAAAGCCTTCTGCGTGTGCGCAGAGGGTAAAAAAACAGGTTACTTCCTGGTTAAAACCAGGAAGTAATTACATCTGGGTGGGTGGGTGGAGCTTCATGCTGCCGCCACTACCGGTTCTCTGAACCACCTGCTGCTGCCGCTGCTACCGGTTCACCCAAATTGGTGTGAACCGGTAGCATTTCACCCCTGCTACTTCTGCTTTCTCCTTTCAGTCCCAATCCAGGAGCCTTCGCAAGCAATTGCTTTCACGACAAACTATTTTACTTCTTTGTTGGTAAATATTAAAAAATTAACAGAAAAATTTTAGAAGCTATGTTACATAACTTCAAGGAATTTTATATAAAAAGGAGCCTGTAGTACAGTGGACTAAAGCACTGTTATTAACATCTGCTGCTTGCAATTACTGCAAGTTCAAATCTCACCAGGCTCAAGGTTGACTCAGCCTTCCATCCTTTCTAAGGTAGGTAAAATGAGGACCCAGATTGTGGGGGCAATAAGCTGACTTTGTATAAATATACAAAAGGATGAAGGCTATTGCTTAACGCATTGTAAGCCGCCCTGAATCTCCGTTTCTCATAGGAAAAAGAGGTTAGTGACAGGAAGAATGTACATTTAATAAATAAAGAATAGAACGTAATACTTCATTTCATCATTTGGGAAGAGAAATCATACCAGAGCTGATCATTTTGTTGTCTAACCTGATTATGCCTGTGAGCTATTAGATCAGTTCTGTTTAATTTACCATTTTTCTGTCCCTATAGTGTGTGGGGATTTTAATTGCTTACTCCACCTTGCTTGTGTAGGATAACAAGTCTTAAAAATGGAATGATTGAATTGAATGTGATGAAATGTTGAAGAATTGAACACTGTAATGAATTGTTGAAATGAACATTATGATGAAAGAATATAATTGCTAGGAAAGAACAATGTAATTATGCATTCTCTGTTCACATATACTTGAATTTATATGCATATATTTGAAGAGACTCTGGAATGAGGAATAGAGGCGTGGTACACATTTAGCAGAATAATGCACTTGAGTTTAAAGAAATAGAGAATAGCTATTCTTAACTTGAAGACAGAAGAGATTAGTTCAAATTACTCTTTAAATCCAAAATCAAGTCTTTATTTTTAACACACACTTAGTCATGTTATTTTTTTTATCAATGGGGAATTGTGTAAGGTATATGACTCTCTTTTTTCAACTATTATTCTTGTTAACTGAAACAGTTCACTCTGATGTTTGGACCCAGAGTAACTGTTTTTCTTGAAACAACATGGATTATTATGCCAAACTAACAAAGTTATATCCATAGAAAACTATATAACAACAAATGAAAAAAATAGAAATTTAAGATTGTCTCTTTTTATATTAAAAGGATCAACTAGTTGATTAAACAAAAGTATTTAACTGTTTGAATTGTATAGAACCTTTAGAAATAGATGTATAACAAATTATATAACAGTAAACAAATCTTCATATGCCAAATAAAACAAATCTCAATTATACACCATATGTTGTGTCTGGCTGTATACTGAAGACATCAACATTTCTTTTGTTTCAAGATGGTTGGCTCATCAATATTCAAAACAGGGTGGGAGAAACATAGGTGCCTGCAAAACCTTGAGAAAATTTGTTTCAACTATACCTTTCTTGCTTTTACTATAGGTTGGTATCTGGAGCCTTATTTAGTTACCCATAAGATATGGAGCTCCTAGAATCCCATCTAGAGAAGGGTGATATATTTTTATAACTACCAAATATTAGTCTTCTAGCTAAACTGAAATGCCTTTCTATTTATGGATAATTCAAGAAAATAAACCATAATGCCATTGTGCAGGTTTCATTGAGACTATCATGTTGAAATATTCAAGCTTTATGACAGTTTTGAAATCAATACTCTTCCTAGCATCTTGTGAATTACTTCTAGGATTCCTTGAATGAATTCATATCCTTTGAATTTGTTTCTCAATGTTCCATTTGTCTGTAAAATAGTTTCATTTTTTAAATTTTAATTACAATATGTAGACTATTATTAAAAAGATGACAAGGGATAAAAACTAAACTATAGGTAAATAAACAAGACATTTTAAAGTATTGTGGAGCTTGTGATTTTCATTAATTAGATATAAATTACTGAGTGTACTTAGATTTATATACTACTACATAGTGTTTTATAGTATTACAGTTCAGTGGTTTACAGAGTCAGTTTACACAATCTAGGTCCTCATTTTACTGACTCAGAAGGATGGAAGTCTGAGTCAATCTTGAGCCGGTCAAAATCAAACTCCTGGCAGTGAGCAGAGTTATGCAGTTTTTAAAAACCAAAAATCACAATTAAGCTCTAAGCTACAGCAAGAGTATATCTCAAGACAGTATAAATCATCATGTAGAATTACGGTATAAATTAAAAGACATTCAAACCACATTATTAAGAAACTCTTCTGATAAAATATCCTGTGCAATTGGAGTATAGGTTCCATACCTGGAGAAATCCAAATTACACATATGGTACAAATCCATGCATTAAATTGAAATCTCTGGATGGTTTGAATTGAATTCTATGTCAAATGTATTTTTAAGGTACAATTGTATTCTAAACATTGAAGTATACTCTCAAATTTGGTTAGTCATTCTTCCGTGGACAAAGAACCTTTTCAGTGAAAGGCATAAAATCTTGCAGCAGCTAGCATATGCAATGCTAATTCAGTACACTTTGAAGGGCTACATGGTTTAGTAAGAAAATTGAGGCTGAAATGGGAATTTAGCTTTTAAGATTTCTTTTAATGTTAGTATTAATCATTTTCCAGAATTGAGCTTTACAACACTGCAACCAATTACAGAAAAAGAGATCTGCTCTCTTGATTACATTTCCAGCAAAGTTTAGAGAAAGAATTGTCCATTTTTAGTAGTCAGGATTGGAGTGGTGTTCCAACAATAAGACATCTTGTAATAGTTTTCTCTGATATTTGGAATAAATTTAATATTCTTCCATTGGAATTCTCATAGTTGCATGTGGTGTTTATAATCCTGCAGATGATCTGTCTCATTCTGTTTGGCTCCCATGACAAAGTTTGTTCAGTTGTTTGCATTTCCTTGCTTTCAAATCCAGTGGGCTTTGAGAGATTCCCCACCTTCAGGATGGATTTATCTCAAATGTTTTCATTGGTACCTTCATTCCTCTTAAAAACTTCAAGAACCTCCAACGTACATGGTTGGGCAACTATCTGAATGTAGAACATTCCACAGAGGAGAAATTATTCCACTTTTCTATTGTGAGGTATATGTCATTTAGAAAAGAAACATTATCTACTGTCAAAAACCTTTTCTCTTAAATTTCCTATTCTTCATTTCCTACAAACTTTCCCTCCTCCCCCTTTTATTTTCCTTATTCTTTTTTTCCCTTTTTTTCTTTATTCATTCTCTGGTTATTCTATTTCTGCTTTTCCTCCTCCAATTAGAAACATTTGGAAGTTGTTCACGACTGGGAGAAGGACTACCCTCAGCTTTGGGGTGAAATGCTGCTGGTTCGGCCGATCCGGTAGCAATGGCGGCGGGTGGTTCGGAGAACCGGTAGCAAATATCCCTGCCCCCCCCATTGCCAGCTGAGCTGCACAATCATCAGAGGCTTTTTTAAAAATCTTTAAAAGCATTTTTTCTACAACCTCTTCAGCTGAAAAAATGCTTTTAAAAGTAAAAAAAAAAGCCTCTGATGATCCCGCGGCTCAGCTGGGATCGTCAGAGGCTTTTAAAAGCATTTTTTCTACAAGCTCTTCAGCCGAAGAGGTTGTAGAAAAAATGGTTTTAAAAGTAAAAAAAACAAATGGCCACGCCCACCCAGTCACATTACCCTCCCCCCAAGACACAACCACAGAACCAGTAGTAACAAAGTTTACATTTCACCACTGCCAGAACTGGTATTCAGCCAGTTCGGAACAGTTTGGGTGAACCGGTAGCAGAGATTGTCCGTCCCAGCCCTATGCCATCCTATTTAGGCACGGTTTTGAGGCTGGGCACACGCATGGAAGGTGCGCGTGTGAGCAAAATGCATGTGCGGAAGGCTGGGTGCATGTGCAGAAGGTGCACGCAAAGCGAGCATGCATGCACGTGGAGAACCAGTGGTAACAAAATGTGAAACCCACCCCTGGCTTTGGGGATAATTTAGAAAAAGCTTACAATATATCCTGAACACTAACATCATTTTGTCATGATAAAAGAATGATTGGTTGAATGTCTTTGGGCACCGGTGAACTTCAAGAAGTATTCTTAATAGCATCAATGAATGTAGAAAGAATACCAGTGAATTTTGCTGTTCTTCTCATACCATCATAGCATAAGGGAAATTGAAATATGCTACTTGCTTCCAGGACTTCTTATTAATTCAGTAGATCCCTACTGCAGCAACAGAATCAGGAAAATTGTTGTAACTTCCTGCCGGTTAAAAAAGAGAGCTAAAAGCCAATGCCGAGTTTTTGTTCGTATTTTCCAATTTTTGGAAAACCAAAATTGTTGAAACTGAATATCATTTAGATTCCCCTTATAAATGTACTAACACACTTACAATTACTTTGCAGGACTGTTCACAAGATTATGTTGTAACAAATTATTTCTACTACTACCTGTTCAAAATTTCTGCTGCAATGGGCCAGGAAGTTTTCTACATCACGTTTCTTCCATTCACTTACTGGATCATAAACGCCCAAGTTGCACGGAGACTGATAATAATGTGGTCGGTAAGTATTATTCACATTATTCACAGCTTAATATGTTGTTGCTAATTTTCTCTAACTAACTGGTTGTAAATTAAACCATGCAAAAGCCCCACTAACTACTTCTATGCTCATTTCTCCCCATTTGGATGGAGACAATAAGACCCTTAGTGTGGAACTCCCAAACAATGATATAAACTGTTGATTTTCAGAAGGGTTCATGCCTGATGCAACTTGCCTATCTCCTGAGAGGGTCTCTTCCACATGCTTACAAATGGACACTTCATGGGAAGAATGTTCAGATGAACAGCCACGTAAGAGGATGTCATACTGTTGAAACTGGTTTTCATATATATATATATATGAGACTGCTGGAATTGAATCAATCCAGCCTTTACATCTGGGGAGAATATTAGTCCTACAGTTCCTTTTCATTGTAGTAATTCTCCAGAGGATTAGAATAGCTGATCAAGAACAGTGGTGGTCTTTGCTGCATTGTACTCTATTCACAGTATCGGATTTTCATTTTTATATCTCTGAGTGTAGTAGTGCCCTCTGCTGGACTGAAACGATTAACAGGGCTGAATTGGTGACTTCTGTTAAACATTTTGTATTCTATCAACTTAAGAAAGCTTACTTGCAGAAGGACAAAGGCATTCCAGGTTCTGCAATGAATCTGTGTATAAAATCAATAGTGGTACCAGAAATGAGAGAATGGATAAGAATGCCTTGACATACATGCACAAATTCCTCGGCTGTGTAAGCCTTCCCCCTTCTTGGCAGATGGTGGCAAGGATGGTAGAACATTTTTTTTTTAAATGAACAAAATGCATTTGACACCTTGATTTTCTGAGTTGAGAGAAGCCACTGCAACTCTGCTTTTCAGGGTATCTGGTTTGTCAGAATGACTGACTGGATGAATGAATGAATGAATGAATGAATGAATGAATGAATGACAGGATGGATTCATAAAGGCATGCTGTAAACTGTGGAATTTACCGACAGATATGTCCAGGGAACAAGCCTTACCAGTACTCTCACACAAAATCATATAACAAAATTGTGGTTTAAGTTTAGGGTTTATGTAGAAAAATGGAGATTGGCACAGGAGGACATAATTTTATTGTGTGTGACAGGATGCTTTTAATAATCCAACATCTCTGGAACTCATAAAGTAATTCCACAGTCTCCACTGGTGGATGTATTTCCTGACCACCCAGAGTTAAAAGGGTAAGTGTCATTTAAAGAGGCCAGACTATACAACACATCTTCCAGTAGACCCACTCCCTATCCAGGACCAATCTCTGCTCTGTGTTTCAGGTATGCTTTGAAAGTATCATAGGCCATATGTTCTACATTGGTATTCTGAGTGAATATAGCCAGTTTTCTTTACAAAAAGGCCTAAGCAAAAATGTTCAAGTAACAATTATGCTGCCATTTTCTAGCTGTTGTCTTGGCATTTCATACTGTAGTTCTCTGAATGCATTGATTTGGCTGGATGATACCAAACCCATTTTCAGGAAACTGAACTTAGTTAGATTGTTGTAGACATAGGCTTTCAGGGATCTTTTATTGCTTTAAAACATTTCTGAGTATCCAAATTGTTACAATCTAAGTGCTTCCTCTTTCTTATTTGTTTGTTTGATTTATTTATACCCTGCCATTCTGCTCAAATGAGCACTTAAGAAAACTAGCATAAGTTAAAAACTTGAAAGATTTTTTTTTTAAAAAAATGGAAATGGATGCTAAAATCAATAACCAATTAAAACCCCAGCAAAAAAGAAGGTTCTTTGCAGATTTTTTTCACTGCTAAGAGAGTTAGGGGCTAAACATAACTTCTGAAAGAATGAGTTTCATGCAGTGATGGGTTGCCCCTGGTTCGGACCGATTCGCAAGAACTGGTAGTAAAATCGGTGGGAGGCTCTGCCCACCGACCCCGATGTCATCAGGAAGCTTCTGCACATGTGCAGAAGTGTGTGCGCGCGGCCCACTGCAAACCGGTAGTAAAGGTAGGTAGAACCCACTCCTGGTTCCATGCCTTTCCACGAACCTTCTTCCAGGGATCTGATAAGCAACATTCTGGCCACAGGAGCTTCTTTGAAAGGGTTTCTGTAGACCTTACAGGCTGGACAGGTACATAACAGAAGATAAGATCCTTCAGGTTGTCAGGGCCTTAAAGGTCAATAAAGTGCCTTAACCAGCAGGGAGCTGCCAACTGTGCAAAACAATCTTCATGAGATCCTTGTATCGGTATCAGTCAACAGCCCTTCTGCACCAATTATAACACTAAAGCATTTCTCAGTGGTGTGCCCCATTTTACATATGTAGAATATAGTTTTTAGGGCTCAAGTAAGAACTAGTAATAATTATTACACATATATTACAATTCATTGTAACAATAATTGATTATGTGCCACAAGTTGTTTTTGACTCCTAATGAGATTTTGTCCATGAGCCAATGTTAAATACAAAATTCAAGTATTTAACTATGGGTGTATGAGGATCCACATGGGAGAGAAGGGGGAGATGCAGTTTACTTTTAATATAAACCTAGTAGGGTTTTTTTTTTACATCATTATTTTTTCTCTTGTTTACTTTCTTTGTATTCCAATATATCTTTTTTCCTAAAATTCTTTATATTGTATTTACAAAAATAGTGCGCTCTAGAAGCAACTGGTTATAACAATTTAATGAGTTTAATCAAGGGATAGATTAATGCCTCCAAGATTAGTCTTAATTTTGCAAAAGTGCTTCTTGCCACAGCCAGAACCTGTAAATTCCAGTGACAGCTAAGAGCCAAAGTATTTTCAGACATCAGAGCTACCTTCTTTAGAGGGAGTGCAGTCTATTCAGTTAAAATAGATTGAATTTCTGTCCCTGAGTCAGTGGCATCAAGGGACAGCAGGAGGACAAAAGTGGCATTAGAATGTCATGACTGTAATATCTGTTGATATTACATACATCTAAAGCAGGACTCTCCAAACTTGGCAACTTTAAGACTTGTGGACTTCAACTCCCAGAATTGCTGGCTGAGGAATTCTGGGAGTTGAAGTCCACAAGTCTTAAAGTTGCCAAGTTTGGAGACCTCTGCTCTAAAGGAATAGAATTTGTAGTATAAACTGAAGAGCCAGTATGGTCTAGTGGTGAAGGTACTAGCCTACAAATTGAGATTGTGAATTCTGTTCCTACCTTAGGCATGAAAGCTGGTGGGGTGACCTTGGACAAGTCACTGATTCTCAGCCCAATCACCAGACAGGATTGTTGTTATGGAGAAAATAGTAGGAGGAAGTAGTATGGATGTTCTCCATCTTGAAATATTTATAAAATGATAAAAATCAAATAAATAAATAACACTCTGGTGCTGGTTTTTGTCATTTTGATGAAAGCAAGACGTATCCTCCATCACTTTTTTATTTGTGAACAATGCCTCTATTTTCCCTTGGCTTAGATCAGTTGGTAAACCATTGTTCCTTTTAATTTGGTGAAAATGTTAGCTGATTCTAAAGGGGCAAAGATGTGGGAAAATTTAAAACTAAGCTGAATCAACACATCTTAAGGCCATACAAACTGGTTCAATCTGTGTTCCCTGACTTCACTCATCCATTTATGGATTGGGTCAAAGAGAGCTACATTACCTAGGGTAGTTGCTTTTATTTGAGATTGCCAGATGTATTGGGAAGACTAGTATTTCTTACTCAAAGCAGACCTCTAAATTGTGAACAGAAAGGTTTTTTTTTGTCTTGCTTTAATTGAAGCTTCTTATATATGCATTTTGTTTGATTAAACTACTTAACAAGATATATGTGTTTGAATAAAACTCTTTACACCTTGCAATGTGTTTTAGCAAAACATTTTAAAAATATTACCTTGCTAATATATTCAGGCATGAATAACACCCACAGTAAATATGTGGAAGAACTGAGCCTTAATCACTATACATCACCTGGAGAGTGTTTGATGCACACCAATAAGTTTCAGAAAAGAGGGATTCCTCATGTTGGACATCTCCAGACCTTTAATGATTTGAACAGTGATGGCAATGATGATAGCCAAAATTGTCAGTACTTATATAAGAAATATCCCAGTATTTTCATAATCTCATTTTGATAGGGAGTCTGTAGTTCTCTGTATACTACCGGTATTTAACCAGTATACCTATTGTAACAAGGACAATGCTGGGAGGATACTGGGAATTGCAATTCAGCCATGTCTGGAGTCTCACCAATAGGAGAGTGCAAATTGGACTGGACTGACTTCAAAACATTTTTTTTTTTGCTTCTATAATGAAGTTGATTTGAGTGTTCTGGAAATGATTTGGCATTTTCAGAAATACATTGTCTGGGACATGATGTTCTGTATGTGCTAGAACACATCTCTAGCTACATATTTCCAAGCTTTTCATTATAGTAATTGCATCTGCTGATTCCTCAAGATTTCACAATCCAAATTAGTGGCTATTTGTATTTAACTTTTAGAGCCTGAGCTTTATTACTTTTGGCTTAATATCGTAATGTCTTGATATCTGTCTTGACAGGCTGCTTACAGAATAGCAGAGAAAACACGTACTACAAAGTGTATAAAGTACTACAAAGACAGATATCAAATTAAAATAGACTTATGTTTTAAAAATAAAAGAAGCTAAAATAGTGTACATTGTTGTTATTAATTATGGTACAGGATCTCAAAATGCCCACATACATCCTGGGCAGGGGTGGGTTCTACTTACCTTTACTACCGGTTCACAATGGGATCACACGTGTGCATGAGCAGATCGCTTCTGATGATGTCAGGGTCAGTGGGCGGAGCCTCCCGGTGTATTTACTCCTGGTTCTATAGAACCAGTCCGAACCAGGGGCAACCCACCACTGATCATGGGATAATACGACTTCTGCAAAATACATACTTAAAGGTTGTAGAAGTTAATGAAGGCTAAGATGGCTACTGTTTGCAGATTTCATTTTCATTTGAGATGCCAAATTTTAAGCCAGCCTTCTCAACATGCATAACTTCTAGTCCTGTGACGG